CTCAGTTGCAGGCCTTTTTATGGCGTTCACCGTCTCGCAACTCTTTTCACCACTCGTTCGAGAAGGAGTCCATTGGGTTTGAGTAGCCCTGATGGCGTCCCTCTCTTTCTTAAAGCGTCCCTTACTCCGCTATATTTGGTCGTGTTCTTCGGTAGTCCACAGATTTCTTGGTTATCCGTCTGATTATTATTAGCCCCAGGCGGACTTTGTGTTTCTGTGTTCTTGTCCATGCAAGTCTTACGAGTACCGCAGTTATATGATATCACTCGACTAGCGCTGCGAATACCCGGGGTTTGGTTACTTAAACTCGGAGGTCGCTTAATATTCGAGGGCACCGTTACTAGCGCGACTCCCCTCGCGCCACGTAGCCTTGGGCACGGTTTGAGGGCATCATGACAACGAGACATGACCACTGCTACTGTGCCCTCGCGCATGACACCTCATACCTATCATTGGCTTGGGGAGCTAGTCCGCAAAGAAGCTTTAGACGTTTCTGCCCCGTTTCCGTGTTGGAAACGTCTTATACCCATTGTAGATCACTCCTTTGGTCCTTCCCCTGCAGGGTCCCCGGTGACTCTACCTGAAGTCCCATCAAAGTCAGGTTATTCAGTGTGCCCACCTTCTATTCGCCACCTGGAGAGACGCTCGCTCGGTTGCTCAACCGTGCTCTTCGCACCCCAGTCAAGGAGTTTAGAGAGACCCGAGTTATAGCATTTATCTTTTAATAGGTTTTTTTTTAATTAGTAGTCGAATCTTTGGTAAAAGACGAGTCGCAAAAGATTCGGGACTCCGTGAAAAAGTGAAGACGTGGATAACATTTGATATATCATTTGTAAGCTTGGTGAAATTTTCATCTGTTTGGGTAGTCCTGTTGTAGAGTAAATTTTTCGATGGAATAAGGCAATTCATTTCATCTCAGAATTTGGGCCAATTTGTTTTGGTAAAGTTTAATCTAAGTGAAGAAGGTGAGGGGGATGGTTTTCGATGGATGGTGGGGAGAAGAGGTAGGTTGTTAAATGAAGACTCTTACAAGGTGTGAAACTGATGTATCAGGTGGTTTTTGGTGGTTAACATCGATCGATAGTGATCAATAGTACCCAGAAAACTGCAATCATGGTGATAACATATCAAGACCTTCGACAAGAAGAGGAATGTGTTGTAGCTAGTAATGAATTTAGAAAGGGCGCTACGGTAGTCGTTTGGTTTAGTGCAAGTCCAGGGAAAATCTTTGGTATTGCCGTCATCAGAGATGATTGCAGGGTAATTGACAGCCACAGGACATGAACTAGGATACGTGTACCTAAAAAAATGCTAGGGGGGTTGGAGATCGAGTATATATGAATGGGTTTGTTTTCGATACAAACTTCCTCTCATACCTATTCGGCAAGTGACAGAACTTTATGAACAATCGACGTTGGCAGCTCATTGGCTATATGCGAGGTTAGTGTTTTGAAAGTTGTGGGTTCGATACCCCGCTAAATCGGATTTTTCAACAGGTACCGATGAGTGGGAGGTTGCTAACAGTGCAACCGCCTGTACCGATATGGTTTTTCCTGTGCTTTCCCCTGTCACTCCTATGTTTTATAGGAGAGTAAATACAGTACAGTGTAGAATGCACAGCCGAATGCTCAAGATGTTTGCTGTCTTATCTTCTCTGATTGATTTGAAATCTAGAAAGTTAATATTTTTAGTCTTTTCATTCAGTTTAGTTGCTGATAGTAAAATGATATTGATTTTATACCTAGAGGCAATACCTACTAATTCCTCTAAGTGAGGTTTCAAGGCAAACATATTGAATTATAAAACATATATGTTGTTGGCCAGGGAGTTGCAGAGGATTGGGATTGATTCAATAAGTGAGGAAGGTGATTTCTATTATTTTATCTCATCTTTTTCAATTCATCAAAGATTTTTTTAATGTTAATATTATTCAATATTGCAACAATGCGATTTGCCTGTTTGATAAGAATATTTGTGCTAGTTCAGTGAGCTGCTAGTGTAGATTGAACTACGACGAATCGAATGCTTGGTGCTAGGCCTAGTGTTGCCGTTGGATCAAGAAAAGTAGGAGTTCCGATAGGAAGTGAATGGATGGGGCTAGTTCTGCAAATAATTTGTTCTAAACTTCTGGCGTGTTCTTCTTCATCATTTTGCGCCCCCTAGGGAGTCGGTTTCACACTCCTTTACATCGTGGTTGTCAGAGCATTCCACACAACGAGGATTGAGATGACAATGAACCTGCATCCTTAAAACTTTGATATTTGGAACAGTATGTTGCTGGTCGGTCTTGAATGCGAAGATATTCTCTTTCGTTTTTTAATTTGTTTTGATAAATTGTCGAACCAATGATGCTTTAATGGTTCTTACCGTCAGGTCACGGAGAATGCCGTGGTCTGAAAACGTGACTCCAAGATCCTTGAGTATAAATTTCGTATTTCTTCCACCGTTAAAGGAAACGATGAAGAAGTCATAGTTTTACTTTTCTAAAATATCAGAGATGTCTCGGAGGTCATCTTGGGTTTCCAATAAATAATTGTGGTATAGCCATTAAATTTTATTTTGCAGTTTTGGTTCGAAGCATTTCTCCTGAGGAAGTTGATGGATTTTTTAACCTCATGTTGTCCATTTTCAATAATAATAATTGGACAGCATTTTGTATAGCTGTAGTTTCATCGCATTTGACGTTATCATAAGTTATGACCTTGGCCAGAGAATTAGCCTGGATAATTCCCAACCAAGGCACGATATTCTGGAATTTGTTATACTGTACAGGGGGCCCTGAAATATAAAAAAAAGGAGGGGGGGAGTGAATGATTACTCGGGGGATTTAGATAAATTTAATATCCATATATTCTATTTTCTCAATATCGTTATACAACACTTCACAAAACCAAAAGAATGAAGGCCCTTTACTCATTAATTAGCTTGAAGGTTGGGGTAACGCTAGCCAACTTGCGGCACCACGATATAGTTCATATTACAAAAAAAAGGGGAGAACATGATTGGAAAGCAGAAGGGGTGAAGTTAGGGGGGGCCGAGTGAATGACTAATGAATACGGGGGATCGATATAATAATGATGACCTTAAAACTATACAGGCATCCAAAGAATTAATATTATAAGAGGCTCACCGTTGGGGGGGAAAATATCACACGGGGTTCGGTATGCTTGTTGGGGTGGGAAAGGAAACCAAAGGGTACTCACGGCGACGGCGACTTAAGCGATCCTCTATGATCACCCAAATTCTCCACTGTCATCAAAAGCCTCCACGGCACACACAATCTTCCACGCCAAAACACTCCTGGAATCCCACGATCCCTCCACGACTCTCCTCCACGAAACTCTTGTCCACAAAATCTCACAACAAAACTGTCCAAAACTCAATTTACCAAAAACATGTCAAACTCCGGGGCAACTGTATTACGAGTGATGGCTGCCGTTCACTCGCTGCTCTTCTTCCCCGATTATCGCCGATAATTATTATATCCTCGTCTTAATTATTCATTCGGGGGGGCTCATCAAAGGATGTCTCCTTCTTCCGGGTCACGTGGGCTGTGACGTCGTCATGGCGGGTTTCGGTTTCTCCCATCGTGTTGCGTGTGGCGACGAGGGGAACGGCGGGTGGGGAGTGTTTCTCCTTTTCTCCGGTGATGTCTCTGGCGGGCGTGAGTGTAGGGGTGAGGGGAGCAGGGGAGGGGCCACAAATAGTGCCTCGTCACAAAGTTTTGCTAATTTGATTGTTTTAACACGGTCTCTTATGGGGAAAATGACAATTTCTGTAAATTCAGCAGATATATTATTCTGATACAGATTATTATATTCCGATATAAATGATAAAATTTTCATGACGATTGATTAAAATTTTTTTTTTCATTAATTTGTTTACACAATATAATGTTCGGTCATAAAAATCAAATACAACGAAAAAAATATAAATATAACGAATTATAGGAAGAGTCATAAACTTTTATTTTGACTATACGTGCAGAACATCCTAAAGGCCCGCATAGACTATCTATCAAACGTGATTTTTTGTTAAAAGCTTATCTTGTTAGCCTAAAATATATTAAAATTTGAGTTCAAATTTATGTAGCTTGAAAGGACGAACGATTGCCTAACAGTTTAACACAATGAAAAGCTGCATATTTTTTATTATTTTTTTGTAAATTTGGTAGATCGCCCGTCGATAATTTCTCCTCTTTTTTCAATTATCTTTCTATATTTAATTATTGGATATTGGACAAATTATTGGACAAATAATCCCAGGGGGAGCAAGTGGCGGCAAAGTTTTGGAAATTTCAAAAATTTCAACCATTCAGAAAATCGCGATAATTTGGGAATTAAATTGCTTTCTTAATAAGAAAAACATTAAGAGAACGATTTAACTCATAATTTATTTTCTTTCCTTTTATAAAAATGAGAGCGGAAATCGATTTCCATATATTTCAGAATATTTCGAAGTCCTCGAGATGTCTCCAATGATCCTAACTGTAAGACCCGAAAGACGAGAATTTTCGGTTAATCGCTGGCAACTTATCGAGATGCATCAATTATTAGAAAATACCTCCGCAATCATCTAACTCTAACATCGAAGCTACGACAATTACACAAAAAATTACAGAAAATTCTTCTAACATTCTTCACATGGGAAAAAATAGTGGGCTGGAGTGAGAAAAAATAGCTCATTAATAAAAATACATGATGAGATCAGAATAGAGAAAATAATCGGGTAAATTTTATAACTGGATATTACCAATAGTTTTATTGAATAAATATGAATATTATACCTCCGATGTGATGTCCAATCTCTTGGTCCTATAGGCTGAGATTTAAATTGGCAAAATATTCAACAATATTTTATAATATTTTGTTAAAACATTAGTTGACTACTGTAAAAACTAAACCTTACGCCGTTATCTTTTAAATTTCGCAAATTTTCAAATGTTATCCATACTAATATACTAATGTTAAAAAAATGACTTCCTACTCTGAATCATCTAGGTTCACAAATGTCACGACGTACAGGAAGGCAGTCGGAGCTATCAGCCTTCATAAGTAGTGAATTTGCACGACATCATAAACGACCGGCCTCACACGACGTCGATATGGGTTCTCCCACGCACAAACGCTCGCGTTTCATGTAACGAATCGTGTTATTGTATACGTAAGCTACAATAGAAGCACTGGCCCTCCCTCCTCGTGCTTCTGCCACCCCTCGATTGAATCCAAGGATATGTAATCGACACAAATTAAACATCACGAGGACAAGGATTCCAACTACTTCTGCCTGATTCGTTTAGCGACTAATTGATTAAAATGTTATAAATCTGTAATAAAAGATAAATATCATAAACTATTATCGAGAAGAAACTCTGTTGCCATTTCACTTTGTAAGGGTACAGAAAGGTCAGTGTGTGAAATAATTCGAATCAGGATTCTTCATTTAGCAGACACACTTCGAAGCTATTAAACGCATACCTATTTATAAATACTGAATATATGTGAAATTAATCTCATAATGAAGTTTATACATATCTACAGGTACACATTAGGGGATATTGAACATCAACAGTTGTCTGTCATCAAACAATTCAATTTTAGAATTGTATAAATAATCATAGTGAATTAATGTCTCAGAAAGCTACTTAATGTCCCCTTTATGTTTATGTACATGTATAAGTATGAAATTGAAGGGATTCTCATGAATTCACTTATAAATAGATCACCGTTGATGATTTCAATAATTCAGATTTGAATCGTTATTGACGCACATTTCACTAATTATCAACTAGCCAGGCAGCATTTAAATTCCAATTATTTCCTAATTTCATTCAATATGAGGAGTATGCGGAGAGAGGAGAAAAATGCGCGCATTAAAATTTTTCTTCAATTATTTTTCCCGTATAGTTTCTGACGATTTCTCTTCTAAGAATCGGTATTATGTACTTTTTAAAGTCGAAAACTCTAAAATTACTGCGGAAAAATATTGTCCCGTTTGTTGTCATGGGATTTTCTTTTCACTTATTTTTTCACTTAATTTTTCCATGCACAATTTTCGCTTGAAAAAAAACCTGAATTGTATATTTTATGAACAGAGAGAAAAAAATACTCGAAAAATTGTAGAACTTTTCCATAATCGGTTTTCAGGGAACAGTACTGTAGGTATCATACAAATTATCCTGACAATTTCGGAAAATTCCTGCTCTCTAGAACAATTTTTATGGAATGTACTTTTCCCCGAGAAGCAAAGTCACCCTACGATTACGGAACGGTTCCGTAATTTTTCCAGTATTTTTGTCTCTGCGTATGGAAAAAAAATCTCAAAGAAACACTTTGTCTTCTTATCGTCGTGGATGGTTGTCTTTTCATCCTGGAAATACATGTATTCATGTAAGTGATGTGCATGCATCAATACGTAAAAAAATCGAATGAACCTGAAATAAAGAGTTTCTTGTATGCAATTCCAAATGCTACTGAATTTGTTGCCATTCTATTACATGCTCATACATTTCATTCGTAGTCTTCTAGCTCCTCTTTACGGCTTTAAACGCCATTTGGCACCTCCATAACAAGTGATTGCCACTTTCATAAATATGAAATAAATTTAAAAAAAACAACATTACCTATGTGGAAGGCCGAAGGCCACTTTCGTGAACATGAAATAAATTTAAAAAAAAACAACATTACCCATGTGGAAGGCCGAAGAAAGTGTCTTTCAGCACCTTAATCAGCATTTTCAAATAATTTTTATATCAACACAAAAAAAAATTATCGTTTGTCAGAAAATACAAAATTTTTTAAGCAAGACTTGAATATTTTATTTTTTTGAGAAATTGTGGAGGCAAATGGTCAATAAAAATAAAAATTCCCCAAAAATATACATGAATAGAATTTCGAAAAGATTAAAATTTATATACTAAATATGAACATTAATAGGTGAAATGTGACTTCTATATTAAAATTGAAAAATGCAATATGCTTCGTTTCCCTTATAATTTGGGTCATAAGATCGATGATAAATGAAGGAAACTATAAAAAGTTGGTTAATGAAATTACCAAACTGACTGATGATGCGAATGAACTTCTGTGGTTAACTTTCATCGTATTCTTTTACTATTACGATTGGAAAGTCCAATGAAATAAATTCTCACAAATTTGTAAAAAAAAAAAACGCTGCTGATATTTGGGGTTGAGAATTCGTTCATTGATGGTTTATGTATCTTCAAATATCTTCAGCATTGGAGTAGTTTCATTGACTGAGACTCACTTCTCTCTATAAAATGACCCTTACAACATTGGAAGAGATCACGACAAAAATGATGAAACTAAAAAATTTAAGGAAACAATGCACTTTTCTGAGTATGAGTGAATGTTATTACTCTATTGTAAATATAGTGCTTACTAATTAAATACTTTTCGAAATAAAAAATAAAAGGAGATGAATGAAAATATAACAATGAAAATTCACTATGAAGGTAGCTAACGATTCAAGTAATTCAGTACCTAAAAATATTTCTGATTAATGTGTAGTTGATAAATAATTAATAATCATTCAGTGACTATTACTCAATAGCTTTAAACGTAATATATTTAGAATAATAATTAAATAAGCATTTTCCGGAAGTTTGAAATTAAAATTGATTGAGTGTTCAGTTCCCATTAACAATCACTTATTGAATTTTTTTTTGTTATTCCACGAAAGTGTATAGAATTATTGGATGGATCATTAGAGCGCAGAACAGCCCACACGCCCAAGCCGTTTATTCATAATATTTGTTTCGTTTGAATTCACGCCAGTTACTCAGAAGGAGGTAAGGGATTGGTATTCTTTATTTTTTATTGTCTTCGTCAGACATAATTCAATTGATTATAGCCAAGTTGTAATGTTTTTATTTTTCGAATGATAAACAAATTGGCTTCGTTGTGAAAATGATAAAATAGTTGAATTAATTGCATTTATTTTCGTAATTTGTTTGGATTCAGTTTCTATTGAAAAATGAAGTACAATAAGTCATACTGTGTATTTTTCGAGTTTACTGAAAGGATTTTTCAGATTGAAAGAATATTATGGAGATTTTTCGGAAATGCAATTGGATTGATTTGTCGGTTTGTGAGCTCACGTATGCAGTAGAGCAGTGATTTCATATAGGTATACGTCGGAATTAAATTCCATACTTACGAAAAGGAAAGAGTTTGCTGAATTTCTGTGAAAATCATGGACATGAAAATTTGTGAAAAATGCGCACAGAATAGAAAAATTCTAGTGAATCCAAGTAATCTTCTCGTTATCGTGAATTATGACATACATTTTTTAATTAATTTTTCTTGTGAAAAAATTTCGAGACAGGACACATAATGATTTCATGAAGAATTGGGACTTTTTTTTGTAGAGACATATTTTTTATAAAAAATTTCATTAAATTAATTTTGTTTTTTTTTTAGTTGAACATTCCCTCCTCTCTCCCACAAAATTGACTTCTTTACGAAATTATTGTTTCTGAGAAACATAGCTAAATTTTTTGTATGCGTCATACTTTTTTAAAATTCCCGATTAACTCGATTCATACAAATAATATGACAATTTGAATTGAAATGAATAACGCCATGATGGTGCTGATTGTTTTTTTCGTTCCATCGTTTACAAGAAAGCATATATATTTTTTTGTCCCGATGGATGAAGATAGGGAAATACGATTGAGATAAATTGCAGTTAAAATGAAAAAGTAAGAAACAAAATCGGAATGATTGAGACTGTACATCGGATGGTAATCGAAAGAATAGTTTGGAATAGTTTCTAAAATCTCTTTGTAAAATTTCTGTAAGAATATAAAGACGGCAAAACAGCGACAAGTTATAAATTTTATTTCCATCGTAATTAATGCGTTAATTTCAATTAACGAATTTGAAGGTATTTCTACCTTTAAATGATTCACAATCGGCTGTCTTTCATAATGTTTTTAGACGCACCCAGTGCGGTTTTTCTGGTAGAAATAGCATTCGTAAGCTTTCGTTTTGGACCCAGCGGTAATTTTAACGCTGCCATGTCAGCGTCTGTGAGGAGCATCAAGGCTTCGAGATCAATTTGCTCGGCTTCCAGGCTGGATTGGATAGACATCAAGTTATGAGCAACCAGAAATCTTTGCAGGGGACTCCATTCTTCGTCGGTCTCATCAGTTTCGTCTCCAGCTAGAGGACAATTAATTATCTTGTTAGAATTATAATTCAGTGAAACTCAATTCCTGTCATTGATTTTTCAAGTATTTTCACATTTTGCTTTTTCATGAAATTATTTTATTGCTTCTTCCAATAATGCAATCTAGTTTTTCACTGGCATTGTGACAGAATATTTTTTTCTATTAAAATATCTAGTATCCGGCAGGAAAAATACAAGAAAAAGTACCCGATTAATTCTGTAAACAAGTCCAGTGTACGACGTAATCCTGGGACGAACTGACAAAACGGAAAAAGGAAAATTCAAGTAAGAAATTTTACATCTCGGTCGATAAAAAGTAAGCTTCCCGAGTGCAAAAATTACGATACCTAGTTCCGTAAAATTTCCTGAATTGTTTCCTAGTTTTCACCTTTTTTTGCAATACACTGAAAACTACCTTAGTGTCCACGTTCGAGGGTCTGAATTCTTTGGAGGACACTTAAAGAATTACCCTCTCTTTGGATGGTTTGTCAGCTGGTTAATATCAGTGCGTAGATTGGTCGTGCATAAGAAAAAGAATAAGAATAAGAATCGATAATATTAAAAGAGATAATAATTGCTAAAAGATAAAAATTGTCTCAAAGGAGGCAATGTTAGAGTGAGCGAGGATTCTCGTCACGCAGTGATGGCAGATGAAGACAAAATTTCACGCCTGGGATTTTCGTGCACTTTCTTGTGCACTCTTCAGGTCTTCACTCCTGTGCTGGCGCAAAGGCCATATCTATGATTTCAATGCGCATCCATATAATTGTGAAAATCATGTATATTTGTTATTGCTTCATGTGAGTTCAAAACCGCATCATTTGCTGATTTTTATGTTGATTTTCAATGCCTTGAATAATTAATTCCGATGCATCGACTCACTAATGACCAATATGCATTGAATAATACATTTTTGAGATTGATGAATTGTTAAATATTCGATAAATTATATCCTTCAAGAAACCGATTCATTGAATTTTTTAAAGCAAAATCGATCATTGACCGAGAATAAATTAATTGAAGTCAAAACAAACAAAAGACTCCTTGCTTTTTTAATATGGGAGGTTGAGAAATAAATTCACAATATGAATGTGCAGTGTTGTGAGTTGTTGAAAGTGCTGCAAAAAGATTTCAATCCCAGCGCAGCAAATATGACATATTCAACATTGAAAATATGGAAAAACTTTGCGTAAAAATGAGATAAAAAAAGTTAGGCATGGAAGATCGCCGGTGGTCCTTAACCATTGGTTTTGCGCTTAGCCCACGATTGCACCAGCAGTCACCTAGCTTAGCTCAAGTTTGGAATCCAGACTTGGACCTACCTTGGCTATTCAATGATTTATAGCGCCGGTCTAAGCTTGGAAGTCGATCTTAATTAAAGCTTGTATTGTCAACTACAGAGCTAACCTGGGCCAAACTAGGACCAACAGTCATCCAAGCTTGCCAACTACGTCAAATCTGAGTTTAATCACCGCTCTTATTATTATCCGCCCCTCTTTCTGAATATCTACAATTAATTATTTCATTCTTTCGTTACTTTAGTGTGCAACACCGAATACCTTAATTTTTTCTCGGCTCGGGCAAGCTCACTTGGAACGCCTCTATCCAAGGCTAAAAGGTCAAGTTTGAACCATCCCTGTGTGTCTAAAAAATTGGCAGGTTAGAGGTGAGTTTGACCATTGGAGGCTTTTGTCACTTGTTGGGGATTTTCTCTTGATGGGAGACGTCAACTGGACGTCTGGAAAAAGTGTGATCAAATTTTATCGACGCTCGCGAAAATAAATGGTGGTTGGCAGGCAACATTGAATACCTGTAAAATAGTATTTGAAGTCGACATTGACACAAGACATTAATAAACCAAACCTATAATAATCAAACCAAAATTGTACCGATATCGGCTCAGTCAGTCTCTGAGAGAGAAGAAGAGGTGATTGAATATCAGCGTGCATTTTCCTGTTTCTGAGATGTTTTTGACCTTTTTGCGCTGCTTTTGATAGTTTGTGCTGTTTCTCACCGGAAAATCCGGGATGAAGACCGTACAAAACAATCCTACACTTCCTACATTAAAAAACGCAAAGTATTTCAAGAATCCTGAAAAAACCTATCGGAATTTTCGAATTGGCTAAGAAGTCTTAAGGTTGTTGTCGCGTAGAATTTTTTTTCGACAGTTTTCGTTAAAAATTTTATGGTGAATAGTTTGAAAAATTACCAACAAAATGAGCCTTTTCCGTTTGCAATTGACCGTTTTGAACTTGAGATATAAATTTTTGAAATTCGAGTGATTTAACACGTGTTTAAATGGAGTTTTGCCGATTAGAATTTTTTAAAAATCAACGGCTCGACAGTTTCAGAAATAACAAAAAACGTGGAATATACATCGTGGGAGGAAATACGGAAAAAAAATCAAATCGATTGACCGTTTGGTTTACGGAATATAATTATCGGAAATTCATAAATTTATATAATTGAAAATAGTTAATATGGAAATTATATAGTTATGCTTTAGCTATCCATGCACAATGCAATCAATCAAGTGAGACTATATACCGCTAAAAGATTGTGTTCTAAACTGGCCCGTTTTACAGCGGATAAACTTTTTACAGAGACTGTCGCGCGACAACAACCTTAACGGTCAGTGGAACAGGGCTTTTTGTCGTGTTTGGAGAGAAGCGATTTTTGTGGGAAAAGCTGAACTACGGAGACATGGAAGGAGTGAAAAACATAAAGAAAATATGAAAAAAAGTTGGAGTTGGAAACCTGCAACAACCAATGCTGATGTAAGTGTTCTTGAAGACAATTCCGAAGGACATTCATCAGGTCATACGGAAGCTGTAAAAAACGCCCGGAATTATTTTATCTAACTGCCTTGCCGAACCCGATTTTTTAATTTGTTTCGTGAATCATTTTATTGCGGTTATTAAAAGAGCATTTCCTGATAATAAAATGCATGATTATTCTGTGGGGTACAAAGTGTGCTAGCAAAATCGAAAATATTCAAGGTCGCGAACGAAAACTTGGAAAAAATTTTAAGGGAAAATAAATTTTCTATTTTAGTTGATGAAACTACGGATAATTCAAAAAATAAATTCATCCTGTTCTCGCAACGTATGTTTGACCAAACATAGGGTAGGTTAAAATAGAATTTGTAGATTTCAACGAACTTAATGCAACGGCTTGCTCAGCGGAAAAAATTGATATTTCTTTCAAAGAATGTTTGCAACGAAAACAAATTCCGATTCGAAATATAGTAGGTTTAGCGCTGGATAATGCAAGTGCTATGATCCACTCTCAAATTTTGTTTAAATGAATTGCATTAGCTATACGTCCTCGATTCTAGCTTCAAAAGCGTGTAGTAATTTTCCGAATGCACCAGAGGACTAACTTTGAGGAATGTTGCTATATTTCTCGAACAGTCCAAAGCGTTATGTGATTTTAGAAGACCATCAATATTTTTTTAACGGGCACCAATTGAACATTTATTGTCTGTCAAACACACGGTGATGATGGCTGCATCAGTATATTAGTCGTATCCTTTAAAATTGGGAACCTTTGGAATTATTTGTTCCATGAGCTATGCTATGCACTCATCAAGTACACTCACAATTAGTACGAAAGATCCATAAATTGCTAGATGATTAATGTGTTAAGGCATACTTCCCCTTCTTGAAATGCACATTCAATTTTTTCAACGTTTTCAATGCTCTTTTTCAGTCTCAAGAATTCACGCTCCATAAAACGGACAGAAGTATTCAAGAATTAATTCGTAACATCGTGCAAAATTTTTTTCCGTGAAAAGCAAACGAAACTATTTTTATAACTTCTGTCAACATTACTCACTCTGAAAAATTTATTTCCTTCAATAACATTGGCCTGGGGCGTAAACGCGATAATCTTGCTCAAACTTTTTTAGCAGCATATTCGCCTCCTATCCATTAATCTTCTTCGGGATAAAATTTAAAAAATTAAAAAATTCGATAGCTTCATTCATGTTTCCAAATTTATCAACACTTGCAAAAAATATTCTTTGACTTCCGCATGCAAATGCACATGCAGATCATGTATTTTTAATTGTACCAGGCAGTATTGATGGTCTTTAGTCAATTGCTCTGATTTCATCCTCCAATCACTGTCACAATGTTGACTGTACTAGTTTTGAGCTTAATTCAAAGTATCTTGAATTGCAAAATTCGAATAATTTGTATCCAGAACCAAGCTCATACGGTAGTTCAATTTTCTTAAGCTCTGTCACATTCACTCATTTCATCACTACCTCTTCATTTTGGCCGTGCGCGTGAAAAACTATTTTTATAATCGAAAACATCAATGAACCCATAGAATTTTCCGATTGTGAAATTTCATCCCGAAAAAGATTCGTGGGTATGCGACCGGCACGTTTATTGTTCCTAAAACTATCACTCAGAAGCGAGAGTGGTTTCGTCAAAATTACCAAAATGAGAAGCGATTATAAATCAATGCGGGTTCAATCCGTTCATCACCACCTTCAAGTACCTTTAGCTTCAAGCCTTTCGATTCAAACAGTCTAAGTTTTTAATAATCGAATGTATATGTGGCAAATGAGACTTCATCTCAGTAGTCGCAGTTATGAACAACTGCAAACATTTGAATCGAAATTTCTGTGCGATAGCTGCCAAGAGTTCGAACAAGACTATCATATTCAGATCCCAGTGCAAATGTTATTCAAGGAAAGGAAATAATCCGGGTGAGTGATGTTGATAGGTGTTGTAGAAATTAGTTCGATTGCTTTTCAGGAAAAAAAATTTCGCACGATGTTTCGAATTAATACTTGATTGCTTCCGGCCGATTCGAGGAGCATATTTTCGCGAGACTGAAAGAGATTTCGGAGAGCATTGGAAAATTTGAAAAAATGTAATATACATTGTGACGAAATTCCCGGCGAATCCGTCACCTGTATTGCTGTAGGGTAATTACCTAGCTTAAGGGCGAGAGAGAACCACAAAATTTGACCAAAACG